TGGTAAATGTTACGAGCACATGACCCGAATGTGTTACATGTTCATTTTCATTTTGAAAATCCCTCCCGCGTTCTGCCTTGATGTTGATTTGTGGCTAAAATTAGCCGCAAAGCGAATTATCCAGCGCACACATTGGCTGTTCGAGAATTACTATGGATTTATACGTTCACTAGTAAAATACATTTACATATTTTAGTTTTTATGTCCTCGTTCAAAAGTTGTTCCGTGTATTGAGAATTTCAAGATAAATTCAATGGAACAAACAGATATTACGTTTGAATCGTTTTGCTATTTAGGCCAACTATCGGACGCTGAGTATTAGTCTTTTTTATTAAATAATTTTTTGCCAAATTTTTAAGGTTAACTTAAAACATGTGACTAAAGAGCTGGTAAATTTAGTTAATTAAATTTTTTTTTTGCAAAATATTTGGTTACGGTTAATTTAAAATATGTAACTAAAGGGCTGTTATATGACCAATTCCTCCATAAAATACTACAAATGGACAAAATGCTATATGATTGCTGTGTAGTCAGGCGTTTTAAATAAAAGACGTTAAACGCCTCATCGCGTTTAACGTACATAGGATTACGAGCGTCAAATACATAGGATTTTGACAGTTTTTAGTACCATTTTATATGCAAAACGCAGCTTAAGATAGCCTTGCCATAACAATGGTCTATTTTTTTGTTGTTTTTTAGAAACTGGACACCAAAATTGGAAAAACTATGTGTATGTGTATGTGAGCCAAGGTTTTTCGTCGACATTTTCTCAAACACTGCTGCACCGATTTCAAAAACGTAAAAGATATTTGTTCGAAAAAATATATCGATAATGACTAGGATTTATTTTGTTTTATAATAGACGGGTACTTGTAAATTTTTATTTCAGCGTTTTCATCAAAAATTTCGACAGATTTTAAAAATTCAAAAACTTCCACAAAATTATTATTTAGGAATTGCGGTGATTAGTTCTTAGTAACGGGGCGTCCAATAATCACGTGAAATTTTTAGGGGGAGGGGGGTTTGACAAAAAATCACGAAATATCACGTGGAAGAAGGGTATTGTAAGATATCACGTGTATTTATTTTTTACCTGTTTTTTTTTTTGAATGAATATTTTGAATATTTACAATTTTTCTCGTAACTAAAAATACACTTGATGCTTGGGAAGGGAGGGTGGTAATTTTGAATTACACTACGTACACCAGGGGGGGTCTAAAAATGCTCAAAAAATCGATCACGTGATTAATGGGCATTCCCTAAGAATTTTCTGGTCCGTTTCCTCGTAATTAATTATTAATAAAACATTTTTGTCGATTTTAGTGAAACTTTGCATAGGGATGCGGTTTAGGGTCTTAACGAACATCCTAAAATATTATAGGCCAACGAAAAGTGGTAATAATTTTAAATACATACACCGCGTGTTATTAAGCATGTGTTCGTGCACTTGGATAAACAAGTGCTCATTAAGACATTTTATTTTAAAATTATTTACACGTAGAGGGAAGTTTATGTAACATGCCTTTAGGCAAAATACCACTATATTATATTTACTCTGGATAAATTTGTATCATACTAGGGTTATTTATTATTATAAAGCAAAAAAATTGTAATAAGTGAAATTTGTTTTTTCTTCATTCAGATTTTAAGAAGCTTGCTCTGTATTTGTATTTATTAAAACTTTTATATTGTCATTATCAACTATTAAAATGTTTAATTTTTTTAAATACATAAGTTTCAACTTATTAGTTCAACTTATAAAATAAAATAAAAATTAAAATTACATTATTATTAGTAGTAATATTGCAGGTTCGAATTTGAGTTGATCTTCTTTCTTTAAATATTCAAAGTAAATAAGTAAATTTCATATTTTTATCGCATAATCTACAAATTCCAGCTGTACTAATACAGAATTCCAATAGATATTTAAATAAAATAAATATACAACATTTAAATGTTCTTACATAAAGACATCAGCAGCAGTTCTGTTTAATCATTAAAAGTCTTTTGTTAAAAACTTGCATAACTTAACCATAACAGGAGTATCATTTTTTTTTTTAATTTAATTTTTGTATTTGATTAATAAGATACATTGATATCAATACTATATCGACCTGTGAACTATTAATCGGTTTATAATTTTCATTAATGGATTGCTTTTTGTACTGTGTAGAAACTATATTAAAATTATCGTTCTTTCTACGTCATAAATTTTTTGTTAGATTTTTTTTTTGATAAGCCATAAAAATGATCTGTCAACAATAATAAGTTTATAAACATCCCAAACAAGAATTTCCTAATCTAATGAGACCAAATTTGGAAAAAGTATATGTGTGTGTATGTGAGCTTTCGTCGACGTTTTTTGAAAAACGGCTGAACCGATTTTAAAAATTTGAAAGCCATTGCGTGACGATCGGCCAAGTCTCTTCTTTGCAATTGGCAGAAAAGTGTAAAAAAACCTTATCCACGTTTTAGGCCACAAATTTAAATTGATTTTAAACACTCCAAAACTGTTCGAAAAATTGATTGGGAATCGTCTTGATTAGATTTCGGTAAAGATGATCGGGCCATTTTTTCGTAATTAAATGCTGAAAAAATGACGATGATGAAACTTAATGTATCGTATAACAATAGATTTCCTAATACAAAATAACATACTAAGGGACCGATTCTGTCGCATAACAGGCCAATGTTATAGTTAGGCTATGTTATGAAGAACTTTCCATACAAATTTGCTCTGAATATTGACAAAAGCCATGTGGTTGCTGTGCAGTCAGGCGATTTTCTCAGGTTGTCAGTTCAGAAAACATGACTAGAAACCGCACAAATGTCAAAAACACGATGTAAGATAACAGGGTCTTTCTGACTCTGTTTCACAACATACGAGTGACGTTGCAGTTTCTGTGTAAAACGTCTGAATGCATAGCAAATGCATGACATTTTGACAGTATTCAGTATGATTCAGTAGCATAATGTATGGAAGTTGGAAACGTAACATGGTCTTGCCATAACATTTTTCTGTTATGCTAGAGAATCGGTCCTTAAAATACTACAGGCCTACAACATGCGGTTGAATTATAAAAATTCATCAAAGTTTAGAATTTCGACACGTGCTTGAACGATTCTGATCAGAATCTATGCTGAAGCATATGTACGTTCTATGGTGTTTTGTAGGTGGCTACTGATTGCAGTTTACGTCCACACTCAAATAAACATTTTTAGAACCCGAAATGGAATAAAATGTGTTAAACAAATTAATTTTTGTAACTATAGATGATATAAGATGTTTCAAAGATATCAATTGAAAATCGTTCTTCATGAAATCGAAATCTTTATTTTCGAAATTTTATCTAAATAGCTAATTTTTATTCTAGTTCTTTAGGCAAAAAACTACGAAGCACTCATGCAAAATTTTCAAAATAATCAAAATATTTTAAATCATAAATTTTTCTATTGTTTTCAAAAATCATATCATTTTTCAAAAATTTCAAAATTTTTCAAAAATCCAATTGTTTCAAAGTTTTGCAAAGTTTTTTTTAATAATTTAGTTTCAGGTACAGGAAGTTCTAGCAATTTGCCTTAAGGCACGATGCCATGCGCCCCACTAGTTTTTATTTATGAATGAGAAATTTTCAGTTGATTGATCTAATTTTGAGTCCTACAAACGATGTGCATTTTACCAAGAATTACTTATAAAGTCAATAAACATATTGAGAATGAGAAATTATTGATTTATGAAGAGGTTTCTGTTTTGTTTATAAATCGAACACCGACTTACGATATTTGTGTTAACGTATATAGTTCTTTGAAAATCAATAAGTTATTTTGGTCTTCAGTTTATTATATGTATATATTGATACTAAAAGCACGTGCGTAAGCTTTTGCTCGCAGATGTGAGAAACATTATCCTAGTTTTTTTTCAATATGAGCTTTATACATATGCGCGTTATTATATTAACACACCACACAATCTGAATATATATATATATATATATATATATATATATATATTAGGGTGGTCCTTAATATGGACATTTTCGAATTTCCTTGCTCCCAAGGGCTCAAATGGTTCCAAATTGATAAAAAATAATTTTCTTAAAGTTTTCTCTCTTTATTGTTTTTTTAGATAGAGCGCAACTCAATCAAAGTTTTATATGAAAATAGCATGAAAAAATTTCATGCGGGTCGATTTAAAGGTCACTTAGGCACATATGATATTCAGATTCTAGGGATCAAAATAAGATACTTTGCTGAAGAAACCTTAACTCTAAAGTGAATTTTGGTGCCCCGTGCATTGACCCAAAAATAAGGGTTAATATAAAATTTCAAATATATCATAATTAAAATGAAACTCATATTAAATTTGTTTCAATGTGCGATGGTATTGATATAATTTAATTTGCAACATTTGTAAAATAACAAAAATAACACACACACATAAATAAAACATGTATATATATATATATATATATATATATATATATATATATTTGAACTTCGAGACACAAATCGTTATATGTTGTATGTGTATATATTAAATCTTCTGCACATATAGGTTGTATACATAATAAACACTTCGTTATAAACCACTCGGTAAATGTTCAATGTTTTTCATCTTGGATGTTTATTATTTATTTATAAACCTTTCTGGAATAAATACAAAGCAGATAATCCGTGTAAACTAAATGTACATAATAAAGAATGAGTGATGCATCTGCTCATAAATTTTAAATGGCGATTTTTAACTTACCGAAAGAAAAGTTTGTTTTCTCGAAAAAAAAGCGATTTGCTATTTTTATGTTTTTTCGACGTTCCAAGTCATTTTGGATCGGATGAGACCAAGTTTGGAAAAGGTATGTGAGCGGCTGGAACGATTTCAAAAATTTAAAAGTCATTCCATATAACTCGATAAAGACTTTCGTTAATCAGTTTTGCGCGACGATCGGCCAAGTCGTTTCTTTGTAATCAACAGAATTACTGAAATTGTAATTTATTTTCAGGTATGACGAAGGTCGAGATGGATATTTGGATTTGGGTGAATTAAAACGCATGATGGAGAAATTAGGAGCTCCTCAGACCCATTTAGGACTTAAAGCTATGATTCAAGAAGTAGACGAAGATTTCGATCAAAAATATCTTTCAGAGAGTTCCTGCTTATCTTCAGGTATAGTTAATCAATTGTATATTGAAAATCGTTTAATCTAATGAGAATATGTAAATTCTGAGAAATGGAATTTCAATTGTCAAGAATTTTCAACAATATATGATTTCAATTTTTATATGCAAATGCTCTGCAATTTTAATTTGTTATTGTAATTTTTATAATAATTATATTTTTTTATTATTCAAATTTATATTTGAATACTTTTTAGAAGATATATTTATGATAAATTTAAATACTACAATTCTAATATATTATTGTAACAGTTTTATGATTTTAAATTCAAAATTATTCGTCCTTTTTAACACATTATATTATATTATTGTTATGCATATTTTTTACAAAATCAACAGTATTTTACAATTACTGAAATTAAAAAGTAAATCAAATTTAAGTTTATTTGCATTATTTTCCTTGCTTTTATATAGAATAACTATGTAAAATATTTTGATATCGAAATTCTTCATATCATATAAAAAGACTCTTGTCTCCAGAAATATTTGCAATCAGAGTTTCATCATACTCTGGAATTTTGTAGCTACATATTTCTTATTTTAATAAGATATTTTTTATCATAATTTTGTTCTATTTATTTGTTCATTATAATTATTTTAATATTTGCGCAGAATTCTGAAAACTGTTATGCTCCTTTTGCATTATCTTAGATTAACTTTAATAATATGTTTTTTGGATCGCGTTTTGTAATAAAATATTTGTAAATTATAAAAACATTCTGAAATTGCAACATTATTAAAAAAAAAATGTTTGCCAAATGACCTAACGATCATAATAAAACTAGTTGGTATTGGTATTTTGCCTTGAGACAAGTTACAAGAACTTATCGATATGTGCAATTAATCAACTTAATCCATAAAAAATAAATTAATTTATGAGTGATTAAAAGTATTCCAAGTGGATTTATTACACCTAATTGAAAACGAACGAAGACGTTAACTCGGAGTATTTCCTAAAAGCAAATTTTCACAAATCAATAATTTTTATAATTGAACCAGTTTCCGTAGAACTTTAATGGTTTAGTATGTTTATTAAGACCAGGTACTCTATTATTATACCAAGTAAATCGTCTAATTTTGATTTTAACAAACGTCAAAAAAACTACTCATTTTCTCAAACTTTGATAATTTTTTAAAATTAAACTGCTTGTCGTAAGGCCGTAATATTTCAATAAGTTGTGTAAGACCATGATATATATCATCAAAAAAAATTTCATTAAAATCGGCACAAATTTTTTTTCAACAACGAATTACCAGAAAACGGCTTGGTACATTTTTACCTAAAACTAATCAGTATCATTCCCTACTAATATCTTTCAAATAGTTTTTGATTTTTTAAAATCGATTCGGTAGTATCAGCTTAAATGTGGATGAAAAGTTTAACACTTCTTTCGAAATGACAAAGAAACGGCTCGGCAGATCGTCACACAAAACTGACAAACGATAGTCCTCATTAAAATACATTAAATGGTTTTTAAATTTCAGAAATTGGTACAGGCGTTTTTGAGAAAACGTCTTTCAAAGGTCTAGTTTTGACAAATGCCAAAAAAACGATACTAATTTTTGCAAACTTTGACGAATTTTTAAAGCTAAACGAGTTGTCGTAGGGCCGTAATATCTTAGTATGATCTAGAAGACTATGGTATCTACCGTGAAAAAAATAATAATAAAAATCGTCGAAAAAAAAAATTTCAATACTTTATTACAAAAAAACGGCCCGGCCGATCTCTACCAAAAACTCATCAGCACGATTCCCAACCAATATCTTTCGAACGGTTTTTGAACATTCAAAATCGATTCAGAACTGCGGGCTAAAACGTGGGCGAAAACTTTTCACACTTCTGCTATTTACAAAGATACGGCTTGGCTGATCGTCGCGCAAAATTGATAAAGGCTAGTCCTCATCGCGATACATTGAAAGGCTTGTAAATTATTGAAATCGGTCCAGCCGTTTTTGAGAAAACGTCGATTTACGGCAAAAAATCTGTTCATATACACACACACGTACACACATGCACACATACTTTTTCCAAATTTGGTCTCATCTGATTCAGAATGGCTCGAAACGTCGAGAAAACAAAATCAGCAAATCGGATTTTTTTATGAAAACATAAACTTATCCTTCGGGAAGTTAAAAATATGCTTTAAATATATTCTGTTTATCCAAATTAAAACCGTTGTTCTTTTCCTTTAGAAAAGCTCGTGCCGGCGAACTGATCACCGACTCCGGCTTATGCCAGCTGGCTCGTCTGACCGAGATCGACGTCGATGCTGTCGGCGTTGGCGGCGCTAAGAGTTTCTTCGAGGCCAAAATCGAGCAACTGCAAAGAACCAACAAATTTGCCGACGAGATTCGTGAGGAGCAGATGGAACGCCGAAGACAGGAGGAAGAAAAGGCGCAACGTAGGGCTCAGTTTAGAGAGAAGGCAGCCATTTTCCAAACTTCCTAAAAAATTAAAGGATTGAGGAGAAAAGAGAAAGTATATTATTTTATTGAGTTGAGTTTTTTATCATTTTTGTTTTTTTATACTTTGATTCAAATGCAACTGTATCTTCTTATAAGAAGACTGTTGCCAGTTCATTTATTTTTCTATTTTTCGGAATCCTTAATTTAACCCTTTGCGCTTGTATATCACTCATTTTAGAGAGAAGCGGCTATTTTCCAAACTTCCTAAAAAGTTAAAGGATTAAGGTGGAAGGAGGAAAAATTTTATTTTATTTATATCAGTTTTTTGTAATTTTTTTTTATGAAGAAAAGGCGCAACGTAGGGCTCATTTTAGAGAGAATGCGGCCATTTTCCAAACTTCCTAAAAAGTTAATGGATTGAGGAGGAAAGAGGAAGTATTTTATTTTATTGAGTTGAGTTTTGTGTCATTTTTGTTTTTTTTATACTTTGATTCAAATGCAACTGTATCTTCTTATAAGACTGTTGCCAGTTCATTTATTTTTCTATTTCTTTGAATCCTTAATTTAACCCTTTGCACTTGTATATCACTCTTCCGGCGCCAAATAGGTATTACTTATGCAATTTACAAGTGACAAGGGTTAAGATCATTCGCTAATTTAATTGAGGGTTTTTGTTAATTTTTATTTCTTTAACATTTTGTGATATTTACTTATATATTTTTTTCTTAAATATAACACTTATCGTTTGTTGCAATACTAATTATCTTATAAATATCAAATTCAGGAAAAGTATACTATTTTTTTTATTTAAGTTCTTCTCATTTTTTTTTTTTTACTTTGATTCACATGCCGAATACTGTTAACAGCTGTTGCTCTATCTCTTGGAATCCAGAGAACTATCGACCATTAAATAATTTTTAAGATAGTTGATGAAATGTTATTAAAAGTTACTATTATGTTTTATTAATTTTTTGATTCAAGTTTTTGTCATTTTCTTTTTATATTTTGATTCACATCGAACTCAAAATACAAAAGACTGTTAACAGCTGTTACACTATTTTTGTATCTCTTGGAATCCAGAGATCTATCTACCATCAAGTAATTTAAGATAGTTTATTAAACTTAATTAAGGATTATCGTTATATTTTATTTTTTTGATATTTTGTGATACTTATATTTTTTTATATATTATATTTACCACTTGTTGCAATAATAATTATTTTAGAATATTCGATTGAGCAAAATTATATTATTATTTTGATTAAATTTTTGGTATTTTTGTTTTTTATAATCTCAATGGCGTGCAACTCAATGAAAAGACTGTTATCACATTTTCTATCTTTTGAAATCCAGAATCCATATTCAATTTAGTTGCACGTTGTCGTTATGCATTTTCTTTTTTTTTTTGATATTTTGTGATATTTGTTTTTTTAAATATTAGATTTACCATTTGTTGCAATAGTAATTATAATCTTATATGTAATGAATTAGATTGTATTTTCGTATTGTAGTATTTAGAATTTAACATTTTTGATGCATATACAATATGCTTTTAGTATTAGGTTTATTCATAAGATGTATATTATTAGGAATTTTATAATTAGAACGTATTATAATTAATTTTAAGAAAGTGCTGACATTAAGATTTCCATAGTAAAGCAGTTAAATGCAAACATTTATTTTTCAAACACCTAAATATTTATAATTATAGTGAATATTACTAGAAATTAGATTGTCTTGAAATTAATTCTATAAGTATAACATGCATTTAGTTCATAATCCTATATGTAAATAGAATGTATAAAGTGTAAAATATAATTATATTTGTCAATATCTGTTTTAAACATTATTGAAAGTGATGAAGAGAAACGATTTGCGATTAGGAAATACAATATACAGTATAAATTATAATATGGAATGATAAATTATGTACTTACTACTATTCTTCAAGAATCAAATGTGATTAAACAAAGTAAGTATGCTTGCAAAGCATTGTTTTAAGTTACCGGAAGAATTTTTAAACGTATTGTTGAAGAGAAAACAAAGCATCAAGAAAGTAATAAATGAAAAGGCTTTAATAACTACCAAACTTAAACTAGTGTAAATGATTTTCACCAAAGAAGAATAAACATTCACAAAAAATGAATATATACAAAAATTTGGGTAAATAAGAAAGATAAAGATGATAGATGATCTGAGATAAAAAATATAGTTCTTCTGCTTCATTAATTAATGTGTTAAAATTTATCATTTATTTATTCATCTTTATGCTTCAGGGAATTGAGTTATGATTTAGGATTATGATCCACATTTAGAGCATGCATTAATATGGATAATAAAGTCGTTGTTGGCGAGAGTTCAAAATAATGTAAGGTAAGTTAAACTAAAACTGTAATGATTTTTTTTAATAGCATTTATTTCAAATCCTATTAGTGATAAAAATAAACTTCTTTAAAAGAACAATTATAAATTATTTTTAAATGACTAAGCTACTTTGTTTAAAAAATCATTTGAAAATAATTCATAATTTTTTGAACAGTATATGTAAATTTCATAGTACATATATGGAAGTTCATATAAATTACATATACTATTTGATCTTAACATTTCATAAATTCTCTATTAGTTTCAACTTTTGAAAATTAGATCAAAATATTAAATCAGATATAAATATTTTTGCATTTCCAATCATTTGCTGTCTGTTTACAAGTTTTGTATAACAAATGCATAAGGTGTAAATGGAATTTTGTCTTAAGGCAAGTTACACCTTTTTTGATATGGGTAAAAAAATTGTATTTTGTCTTAAGATGTATGAATTTTTTATTGATATGTGTGAATAATAATAATATATGTTTAATAATGTGTTTTCATGCAAATCGGCTATTCAACTGCACAAATACACACATTGCGCAGATGAACAGCCAATCAGAATTTATTTTTTAGCAATCAAGTAAAAACGTCTTGTCTGATTTTCACCAAACGTTAATCAGCATGATTACCAATTGATTTATTTTAAACAGTTTTTAATTTCGTATTCAGGACTCTTTGTGGATTCTAAAGAAACAGCTTGGCCGATCATTGCATAAAACTAATAATAGGAAGCCTTCGTGAAGTTTTATCAAATGGGTTTACAATTTTTGAAACCAGTGCAGGCGTTTTTGAGAAAACATTGAACAAAAGGTGAAATTTTTACGTATTTTTACCAATTTGGTATAAAACGATTCAGAATGACGAGAAGACGATAATTTTCTGGTAAAAAACATAAAATTCTTATTTAAGTTATAACAAATGTGGGGTCATGAAAAATGAAATAAGTCTAACTAATATATACTCTTGAAGATAAAACAATTAAACAAATTTGCCAATACAATTTTATTCAAATTCCATGCCAAAAAACAATAACTAATCATATTTATACAATTTTAAAAACAGATATGTGTTAACAGAAAATTGAAAATCAGGTAATTGAGTCTTTATTTGAAATCAATGTTAGGCTTACCATGAATCTAAATCTAAGTTTAAATCTGGATAAAATTGAATAATATTAAGAAGCATAAACACAGTATATATGCAATTGTTTAGGAATGTATATATCACACAAGCATATATAAAGCATTTCTTAATGTTTTCTTTAAATAATTAGTTTAAAAATACATGCATTTAAGCTAATAAGCAAACAAAATTTTGTTCTACAATAAATTACACATTTCAACAGAATTCCTAATCTCATTGGGTTTGGAACCACTTGTTGTATATTGATAGTTAATCATTTGGACATAGAGGGCGCCATATGATGAAGCTAAAAAAATATTCATAATTCAGTTAGCATCAGTGAGTTAGTGATAATGTTTGTACAAATGGAATACACTATAATTTCTGTTACATTATAGTTAAAGTGTAAAAAAAATGAGTGAAAATATGGCGTCCCATATTCCTTACAATAATTGGTTCACTTACAATCAGTTATAACATCTGCATACAAAATGTAGGTATTTCAATTTTATATATACAATACAAATTTCATTTACAATTTTAGTAGTTATTTTATTAACTAATTGATAATAAACCCTTTTAATACACAAAAATGTGTGTGAAATTTATTTAATACTTATGAAAATTTTTAAATCTTTATTGTTAACAATGATTTTTTTTTTAATAGAACAACTTAAAGCAACATTGAGAAAATCTTCGAAAGCTATTGTTATGGTTCCTGTTTGTTGGGAATCTCGTTGTCTGAATGCTTCTGTGAACCTCTGTATTTGTACACACATGACAATGAACTGGTCAACGGAAACCTGTGAGGTAAAAATAGTTGAAGTATAAAATGAAAGCTACAGTTAGTTTAATTGTTAAAATGCTTAAGGGGATATTCTAGTCAAGCATTTTAAATAAATCTTTTTTTTATATATTTTCAAATTTTAACTATTCAAGAATATGTGTACAAGAGATTTTTTTAAAATTTAAATTATTTTTGGAGATATAGCTGTTTGACTACAATAATCCTCCTCAGTTAGCTTTCTTCGAGACGAGTTTTTCTCAAAACTGTCTTACGATACCATCAATTTCTCAACTACTACTGAACCAATTCAACTTAAAATATTTTACAGTGTCTTCTCATTAGTATGAACTTCTTCTCTTCATTCCCAAACTTAGATTTTTACTATTTTTTTTAAAATATCTAGAATAGAATTTTATTGGAAAAAAGACACTATTTTGTCAAAAAAAAATGTATGCAATTCACAGAGTTGCAACATATATATATATATATATATATATATATATATATATATATATATATATATGTTAAATATGAACAATAAAACACTCAGATTTTTAACACACACTTTATTTAATAATTACAGACATTTTGAGACCATGATATGCCTCATCTTCAGTGTAATTTCAAAGCAGTTAATTCTATACTAACACATTATTGAATATTTTATTTAATTACATTTAATTTAAAACAAAACACCAACTATCTCTTACAAAGCTTGACACAGTACTAAACATGTGAATATTTACAGAAATATTTGAAACAAATCTTAAGTGTCGAAGATGAAGGAACAGGATTGATATTATTGTAATGTAAAGAAATGGAGTGCGCGATCGCATACTGGAATCAACAAATGTGAAAACAGATTAATTTATTGAAGAGAATAAGATAAATGAAGAAAACATTATAAATTATTAATGATGTTTATGTAAGAGTTGTGTATAATATTTGTGTTGGTTCTCAGATTTACGCTATTATTAGTCAGAATTATGATTCTGCCATACTCTGTTTAAATAAGTCTTTCTCAAAATTTAAATAAGGCTTGTGGATGATGCTAATATCAACAACCATAAGTTTGATTTTGATAATCCCTAAATCTTTCTTCATGAAAAAGACTTATTTGAACGGAGCATGGCAAAATCAATGTTAATAGTTCGGACTAACAATAGTGTAATCTGAGAACCGACACAAATATTTTATACAACTCTTATATAAATATCATTCATAATTTATAATTTTTTTTCATTTATCTTATTCTCTTCTATAAATTAATCTGTTTCCACATTTTTGAAATTAGTATGCGATCGCGCACTCCATTTGTTTACATTACAATAATGTCCATCCTGTCCCTTCATCTTCGACACTTAAGAATTGTTTCAAATATTTCTGTATATTCACATGTTTAGTACTGTGTCAAGCTTTGTAAGAGATAGTTGGTGTTTTTTGTATTTTGAAAAATTAAATGTAATTCAAATAAAATATTAAATAATATGATAGTATAGAATTAACTGTTTTGAAATTACACTGAAGATGAGGCATACCATGGTCTTGAAATGTCTGTAATTATTAAATAAAGTGTGTGTTAAAAATCATACTTAACATTTAATATTCGTTCCACTCATATCACAAAATTCTATATATATATATATATATATATATATATATATACACATATTGTTGAAATTCTTTTACATATATCTTAACCACTTATTTTAAAACATTGCAGCTTACCTCTTTGTGGTTCTGTACGTCACTCTTGTTAACTAGGAATGTTATGAATTGGTCCGAAAATCGAAATCCCATTTGGGTAAGTGCTAGAAATTTATATATAGGTTAGTTATTTGTTGCTTGTGCATGAATGTGTTTAATGATAATGTTTATAGTGAATTCATGAAAAAGGTTCTATATACAATTCTCATCAAATAGAATGTTCAAGAAATTAAATATGAGATTAAATACAAAATTTAAACAATGAGAAATCTAAATCTAAATGAAAAATCTGAACATAAATTATGAAGTATAGATAGTTGGAAAAACTTGTTTCTGTATGAAAATATCTGTGCGTTTACCTTGGCTCAATTCTTCTTTTTCTATGTGTCCCGAATGGTCCCGATCATAAGTTTTAAAAACAGTCAGCCACTGATTTATATAAGCATATAATTTTTCAAATTCATATATATCTATTGTACCCGTCTTGTCCAAATCAAACATACCTAGTTTAAATCAAAAGCAAAAATGATTATTTATTACACAAATATATATAAAACAAATTAAAGTTATTTACCAATCATAAGCTGGCAAGCATTATCAGAAAAATTTTGGCCTTTTCCATTAACCAAAGCGGATTGTAATTCCTTCGCGGTTATTTTTCCTGATCTGTCTCGGTCGACTGCGTTAAACCATTGTTGAATTTCTGGTGGGACACTCGGTTGAGATTGGGGGTAGGATCCGGGGTAACCTCCATACTAAATAATAAAAATTTGTTACATAAATATTTGTATTACCAAAGTAATTGATTGTTAAAACAAAATGGATTAGATAAGAATGCAATTTGATCAAAATAATTACTTTTTTGAACAAATTGTTGTTTTTATTAATGAGTATTATATTTAATATGGATATATCATTTACAAACTGCAATTCATACTTAATAATAAACAGTTGATTTTTTTTTTCTAAAATGATTTTTTAAAAAAATTTACACCAGCTGAAGGATACTTTAAATGCGAATATTTCATTCTTAGACACCAATTTAAACAATTTTCTAAGTTCTAGCGTTTATACGTTTGACATTTTAATAATTTTCTACTGACAAAAGAATTACAATAACATAGCCCAATTCTTGCAGTTCCTTGTGATTCATAATTAAATTTACTAATTTTAAATATTTAGCAGACCATTAGTTGAATATAAAGAGTTAAAAGAATATCATCCTTTATTCATTAAATATTTTGTCACAGCCCAATTCTTGCAATTCCTTGTGATTCATAATTAGATGTACAAATTTTAAATATTTAGCAGACCATTAGTTGAATATAAAGAGTTAAAAGAATATCATCCTTTATTAATTAAATATTTTGTCACAGCCCAATTCTTGCAATTCCTTGTGATTCATAATTAGATGTACAAATTTTAAATATTTAGCAGACCATTAGTTGAATATAAAGAGTTAAAAGAATATCATCCTTTATTAATTAATATTTTGTCACAGCCCAATTCTTGCAATTCCTTGTGATTCATATTAGATGTACTAATTTTAAATATTCAGCAGACCATTAGTTGAATATAAAGAGTTAAAAGAATATCATCCTTTATTAATTAAATATTTTGTCACAGCCCAATTCTTGCAATTCCTTGTGATTCATAATTAGATGTACTAATTTTAAATATTTAGCAGACCATTAGTTGAATTAAAGAGTTAAAAGAATATCATCCTTTATTAATTAAATATTTTGTCACAGCCCAATTCTTGCAATTCTTGTGATTCATAATTAGATGTACTAATTTTAAATATTCAGCAGACCATTAGTTGAATATAAAGAGTTAAAAGAATATCATCCTTTATTAATAAATATTTTGTCACAGCCCAATTCTTGCAATTCCTTGTGATTCATAATTAGATGTACAAATTTTAAATATTTAGCAGACCATTAGTTGAATATAAAGAGTTAAAAGAATATCATCCTTTATTAATTAAATATTTTGTCACAGCCCAATTCTTGCAATTCCTTGTGATTCATAATTAGATGTACTAATTTTAAATATTCAGCAGACCATTAGTTGAATAAATGAGTTAAAAGAATATCATCCTTTATTAATGAAATATTTCGACACAGCCCAATTCTTGCAATTCCTTGTGATTCATAATTAGATGTACTAATTTTAAATATTTAGCAAACCATTAGTTGAATATAAGAGTTAAAGAATATCATCCTTTATTAATTAAATATTTGTCACAGCCCAATTCTTGCAATTCCTTGTGATTCATAATTAGATGTACTAATTTTAAATATTCAGCAGACCATTAGTTGAATATAATGAGTTAAAAGAAA